CCCCAAAACCCCAAAACCCCAAAACCCCATGATTCTAAATTACTACTTCATTGAAAATTAGAGATCGATAAATAATCTTAAGATGGAATAATAGAAATTAGTCTAAAATGCATTAAAAAATGCATCATTCATTATGATTCTGCAAATTTTTGCTAAGATTATTACAATGTCACTAAATTTCATAATTGCAAGGCTTGTAGAAAAGGATATCTACGGCTACTCTAATATTTAGCTGCAGCTATTCTATTCTATGATTTTGTTTTTCTCAAAAGAATCTGTGAGAAGAGCGTGTCAAAGAGAAGTATAAATGCTTGATTATCCCAAAAAAGACATCCATCAGAGCGCTCAAAACCTAGTAACATATATTTCAGTGATTTATTAAGGTCATTTACACGTTACCAATTCAACTTTTCATTTCAGTGATAACTTTTATGACTGTCTATACATTCTATTTTTAAGCTCAGCTTGAATACTTCACACTAAGTTTGTCTCTCATTTGCTTATCAGCTCTAATAGTAAAAAAATATTAGTTAAAAATTTCATAGGAAAACTTATGTGAACCCTTCTATGTTCAGCTATTGATTAAGATGGATATGACTTTTAGAGTTAAATCAGAAGTAACTCATTCCTATTTAAATCAAACTTTCAGGCCCTAGCAATTTTTATGAAATCAGTATTGGTTTATGTTTTCCTTAGATTGAACTTTTAATTACTTGCTTTTGCACTAGCATAGTTATGCTATTGTCTCACACTACTGATCATGTATAATTTACTCTTTAGAAAGGATTAAAATTTGAGTTTTGAATAACTATGGGAAAAGTACTATGTTCCTAAACTAATTTCTCTCAAAATTAAAGAAAAACTAGTAAGAGTCAAAATACTTCCTGAACATAAGAGAGATCTTAAAGAATTTTCACTCATTTCCATTGTTAAATTCATTCTTACAGAAGGAGAAAAATTCATAATTTTTGCATTCAGTAGTTTTGTATGACCTATATATATTAATGCTTTACTTTTAGAGTTTAGATGTCCAAGCTGAGTTTGGACTAGTGTCTAATCTCATTTCAATAGTTTGCAGATTTGTTTTCCAGCCGATCGAAGAAATGTCTTTCAATTTATTCTCAAAATACAATACAAAAAAGATAAATGCAGATGAAAAAAAAGATCAATAGAGTAACGGATAATTTAAAAGTCCACTATTCATCCTTGCAAAGATAACATAGTTTTTGGGTATAATAGGTTTCGGTATGATAATCTTTGGTGTTTTCTTTTCTAAATTATTCATAAGAATAGTGTATACAGAAAAATGGGCAACTGATGTAATATTATATTAAAACTTAGATATTTTAGTCAGCTTAGTAAATTATGCAAGCTTACTGTATCTACACATTCTTTATGGCATTAAATGGTGTAACAGAGGCATATATCTATGCAAAAGCTCATAGTGAAATGATGAGAAAACTTCAGACAGGTTTAGTAATTACCTCTCTGTAAGATACATTCTAATAAATTATTAATTTCAGTGTTTACATGTTTTTCTCAATTTACTTGTCGAGATTGATTGGAATTCAAGGATTGATATATGGAAATTGTATAAATATGGGAATGAGAATTGTGATGAGTCTCTATTACTCAATTGATATTGAATTAAAAGAAACTTAATAGTCAAGTAAAATGTAGATCCTCAAGAGATTCTTTAAAGATGTTGTGACAGTAGATTTTAAAACGATTATAGAAATGGTAAAAAATAGAAGAAATTGATCAGAAATTATTATCAAATAAATTATTTTTATTGTTAATTGCCGGGGTTTTGGGGTTTTGGG